CGGACTAGATGATCTGCTAAGGTCCCTTCCGACCCTAGAAACTATGAAACTGTGGTGGGGGTCTGCTATAGACCGCCAGACGAAGAGGACGAGGTAGATGAGGATTTCTTCAAACAGCTAGCAGAGGTTTCCAGATCACAGACCTTGGTTCTCATGGAGGACTTCAATCAACTTGACATCTGCTGGGAGGGCAATACAGCAGTGTGCAGGCAATCCAGGAAGTTTTTCGAGAGTGTTGGGGACAACTTCCTGGTGCAAGTGCTAGAGTGGCCAGGTAGGAGCCATGCTCTTCTTGACCTGCTGCTCACAAACAGGGAAGAATTGCCGGGGAATGTAGTAGTGGATGGCAAGTTGGGCAGCAGCAGCCACAAGATGATTGAGTTCAGGATTCTGAGGAAAGGAAGGATGAAGAGCAGCAGAGTAAGGAGCCTGGATTTCAGAAAAAAACAGACTTTGACTTGCTCATGGAAATCATGGACAAGATCCCCTGGGAAGCCAGTCTGAGGGGGAGAGGAGTCCAAGAGTATTGCTCAGGCATGCAGGGATGAAGCCAAGGAAGCCAAAGCACAATTGGAGTTGCAGCTAGCAAGGGATGTCAGGGGTAAAAAAAGGGTTTCTACAAGTATGTTAGTAGCAAGAAGAGAATTAGGGAAAGTGTGGGTCCCTTACTCAATGGAGGAGGCAACCTTGTGACAGAAGATGCAGAAAAGGCTGAAATGCTCAATGTCTTTTTTGCTTCAGTCTTCACAGGTGAAGTCAGCTCCCAGACTATTGCACTGGGCAGCATGAGTGACTGGTGCCTCCTACATCTGGGGGGGGGGGCACCAGCAGAAGCCACCAGTGGCAGCAGCCCTGTCAGGGGGGCACCAGCCCTGACAACAGCATCAGTGTCGGCCGTCGGGGGGGCATTGGCACCACCAGGGAGGGCACTTGCACCCCTGTGCACTCTCTACCAGTTGCCTATGCTGGGCAGCATAGTTTGGGGAGGAAGTGAGCAGCCAACAGTGGTGAAAGAACAGGTTAGGGACTATTTAGAAAAGCTAGACATGTACAAGTCCATGTGGCCAGATGGGATGCAACTGACAGTGCTGAGAGAGTTGGCTGCTGAGATTGCAGCGCCCCTGGCCATCATCCTTGAGAACTCATGGTGGTCAGCAGAGGTCCCGGATGATTGGAAAAAGGCAAACATAGTGCCCATATTTAAGAAAGGGAAAAAAGAGGATCCAGGGAACTACAGACCAGTCAGCCTCACCTCAGTCCCTGGAAAAATCATGCAGCAGATCCTTAAGGAATCTTGAAACATTTGGAGGAGAAGGAGGTGATTAGGAACAGTCAGCATGGATTCACCAAGGGCAAGACATGCCTGACCAACCTGATTGCCTTCTATGATGAGATGTCTGGTTCTGTGGTTGCAGGGAGACCAGTGGATGTGGTGGACCTTGATTTTAGCAAGGCTTTTGATATGGTCTCCCATAACATTCTCACAGACAAGCTAAAGAAATATGGGGCTGGATCAATGGACTCTAAGGTTAATAGAAAACTGGCTGAAGCATCAGACTCAGAGGGTAATAGTCAATGACTCCATATCTAGTTGGCAGCCAGTATCAAATGGAGTGCCCCAGGGGTCGGTCTTGGGGCCAGTTTTGTTCAATGTTTTCATCAATGACCTGGAAGATGGCAGAGAGTGCACCCTCAGCAAGTTTGCAGATGACACCAAGCTGGGAGGAGTAGTAGATACGCTGGAGGGTAGGGCTAGGATTCAGAGTGACCTAGACAAATTGGAGGATTGGGCCAAAAGGAATCTCAGGAGGTTCAACAGGGAAAAGTGCAAAATCCGTCACTTAGGATGAAACAATCCCATGCACCCACCGGTACAGGCTGGGGGCTGACTGCCTGGGTAGCAGCTCTGCAGAAAAGGACCTGGGGGTTACAGTGGACAATAAGCTGAGTATGAGCAAACACTGCCCCTGTTGCAAAGAAGGCTAACAGCATACTGGGCCGCATCGGTAAATGTGTTGCCAGCAGGTCACGGGAAGTGATTATTCCCCCTCTATTCAGCACTATTCAGTACTCACAAGATGGAGTATTTTCCTCAGTTTTGGGCCCCCTCACTTCAGAAAGGATGTGGACAAATGGGAAAGAGTCCAGCGGAGGGCAGCAAAAATGGTTCGGGGACTAGGGCACATGACTTCTGAGGAGGCGCTGACGGAACTGGGCTTATTTAGTTTGGAGAAGAGAAGACAGAGGGGATTCCATTGCAGCTGTCAACTACTTGAAGGGAGGTTTGAAAGAGGATGGAGCTGGACTGCTCTCAGTGGTGGCAGATAACAGAACAAGGAGAAAAGTTCTCAAGTTGCAGCAAGGGAATTTGAGGTTACATATTACAAAGAATTTTCTCACTAGGAGGGTACTATAACACTGGAGCAGGTTACCCAGAGAGGTGGTGGAAGCTCCATACTTGGAGGTTTTTAAACCCAGGTAGACAAAGCTTTGTCTGGAATGATCTAGTTGGGGATGGTCCTGCTTTGAGCATGGGGTTGGACTAGATGACCTCCTGAGGTCCCTTCCAACCCTTATTTTCTATGATTTCTATGATGTTAATTAGTGTTCTCAACCTTTTGGGATTCAAGGCACCCCTCACTGGACTCAAGGCACCTCTCTACAACTTCTGTAAATTGAGTGGCACCTAATTTCAGAAACTAATGTATGTATTACAGTACTTACCTCCTTGCAGAGGGCCAAGCAGTGTGGGTGGGGGATCAGCCAGGCAGGAATAAACCTGAGCTTCCCTTATCTGCTTATCTCTTCACATCTAGCACCACTTCCAGAGTATTGCATGGCAGCCAAGGGTGCTGCAGCTCTTTGGCTGAGAATCATTGTATTATTAGAGTAGGAGTAAGAACTTGGAGCCAAATCAGCTGGCTGTCAGATTGACTGACTTTTCTTTGGATGCAAGGGGCTTGATTCTATTCCACTTATTAGGCCCCTAAGGTGGCCTAAGGACTCAGATGCAGTTAACTGCAAAAGCAGCTTGCTGCTTTTTGTGACTCAGTCTTAAGGTCAAGGTGAGGGTGTATTACAAAAGTAGATCATTTATGTTTTTTCAGGGACTCGAGCAAAGTGAAAGGCAATCACACTTAAGCATCTACATCCATTAAGGAACCTAAATGATTGAATGAGTCAGGCCTGAAGTACCACTGAATCTTAGTTTCACGTTCTGTAAAATGGAGATGAATATTTACCTTTGCTAGCACCATTCATCCAAAGAGTTCAGACTACTAAAATCAGGTATTAAAATTATGAATGAAGATGCTGCTCAAATATTTTCTTTGACTAGTGCAGATTAGGCTCTTTTCCTGGAAATTCAAAAAAGTGTTTGAGTTTCCAGTAAATGTTTGGTCAAAACTTACCTGAACCAGTTAATTCGCTTTCTTCTGAGATTGCTGCATTCATGGCTTTCCCTAACTGAAGAGGAGATAAGAACTGGGTCTCTGACAATTGCCCACAGAAGCAAGGCATTTGACTTCACCTGAAGTTAAAATTTCAACACCTGTTACAAGATGAAGTAGTGACCAGCGTATGTATGTACATTAAATATATTGGAGGGATTGGCAGTGGAGCCACAATACACAGTAGAAGTGCATTTAGATTCTGTAAACAAATTAAAGACCTGAGTTTCTTTTCAATTTTAGCCAGTGAGAAGTAGCTCCATTGAAGTTAACAGTTACACAGGTTAAAAGGGAGAGAAGAATTATAACTATAATATCCAAAGTGGCCTTTATAATTATTTGGATGGATTCTGATTAGTTAAGATTAGGTGAGCTGTGTCTTTGTAGGGAAGGAAAGGTATCAGCATGGAAATGCACAGGCATATACCTGCACATAAAATATCTTCAGAGACACGTGAAACTTAGACATCTGAATTAAATTAGACCTTGTTTCCTGAGTTTAACCACTATGGATCTTGTCAATTTTTATATTTTACTTAGCATTTTTTCTGGTTGTGATTGTTCTTGGAATGGATGGAACTGAAGATGGCAACCAATATCAAATCTATATGAAGACAAAATACACTTTCTGACATTTAACCTACAAAACAAGAAACAGTGCCATTTTAACTGCTTTAAAGCTATCTACCTTTGATGCTCCTTCAGTGATCATGACATTTCCCAAGCTCCAGAGTAATGCCTGTCATCTTAGCATGTTCAAAGGATTAAAGAGTTATTTTAAAGCTAAGCATCTTTCGCTAGCAAGCCTTTGCTTCTAACAGTATGAAGAACATGGCACATTGCTGACTACACAAAGCATAGCTGAATGTTCAAGGAGAACAGACTGAAAGAACAAATAAGTATTACCTTTTTTGTTACAGCGTGATCATAGTCATCAGATACCTTGTTCAAAGCCTATTGAAGTTAGTGGGAAGTGACAATTTTCCCCCAAATAACTATGTGTCTCTACTGTTGAAAGCCTATATATATAGGAAGCCCTCTAGCTCATACTGAGAGTGGGGAAACTTGGCCAGAAATTCCAAACTTCATGTTAGGGCCTGAGAGCCTTGATATTAGTAAAAATTGGAGAAGACTTAAGTTCAGCAGGAATGAAATTCACCAACAGGCCATTAAACATCCACAGGGAGCAGCCCATACACACCCCATACACAATTTCTGAAAGTATTTTCAGGACATCTGATTTAAAATGATGCCTGGTCACAAACTGATGGAAAAAAGTAACTTTATCTGACTAATATAAAGATTGTATCCTCTCCCTGTCACGATCCTCCAGATCTGCTGTCCCCTCCTGGTCACAGTCCTGCCCCTTCACAATCAAATGTTGTCTTTGTGGTTACTACAGCTATTGCAAACATGGTAGAGTTTATCTTAGGAAGGTATTTAATGAGTCTCTCCACCTCTCTTCTGGTGGGCCTTTTCAGACTCTGAGATTTTTTTTTAATGCCTGAATTCCTCAGCTTATCATAGGTTGTTAGGGGATCCTTTGTGACTGTGGTGTGCCTGGAGGGAAAGTGGATGTTCTTATGGACCCTTTCAGCCATCACATGGCCACCTGTGATCACAAGGGATTGGACTTTATGACACAGGTGGTTGCATCACTCTTATGTTCCCATGAGTTTCATCAGCCAGTGTCATAGACTCACCCAATTCCCACAGCACACCAGGTTTTCTGTAGAGGTCTCTGATATCCTCAAGGATAGCAGTCAGTGGAGGACAAATTGAGAACTACAGCACAAAACTGCATCTACCCTGCAGCTGTTTTTTTAAGAGCATAAGCAAGGCTTATCTGGCAGAGCTGAGATAGTCCTACCCCTGACATTCTCCTGAGGGCAGGTCACTGCTGTAGTGTAGGCAAGTGGTTTATCCTTGTCTTTATTGAAGGAGATTGAATAGCTTATTGCTCTTGGCAGGACACGCTTACATGTGGAGAGATGCTGAACACCCTGGGCAGGCTACTGCTAACTCATAAAACAGACCCAGTGCTTGTTGGTCATGCTGCCTGCATAATTAAAAACCTGATCCTTCCCCAAAACATGCAGGTGAGTACCAGTTTTCTCCACAAGATTACACAAGGGAGGTGGGGCGTCTTTACCCAGTAGGAGCTGATTACACAAAAGAAAGTTGTTTTTTTTTTAAATCATATGCAATGGATTAATGAGCTATCTCCCTCTGACATTCATGACAATATTACCCCAGGTACAAGTTGGCAGCATCCCATGTACCACCCTTGAAGGTATTTCTTCCATCCTCGTTTCCTCTATCATGCAACATTGCATATTAAGGAAAATAAGAAATGTCACACAAGACAGTGATACAGCCCCAGGATTTGAGTAACTGTGTCTTCTCTCTAGACACATATAAAATATATCAGGGAAGCCTCAGGCATAGAGAAATTAAGTGACTTGCCTGAGTCACTCAGAATGGATGAGTAGGAAGTGAATCCTGAGTGCCCAAATCCCAGTCCAGGGCATTAACCAGGAGAAGAAGAGTAAGAGAAGGTCCCCACTTTCCAGGGTTGTATTTTAAAGACAGAGAATTGATTTGAATTTCAAAATGTATGATTTGTAGTCTGTGCATATGTTGTGTTATCTATAGGGGCTCATTTTATTTTGATAAAAATTTGGATGTACACTTTGAAAAAACTTGTCATGAAGACTAATATGTTTCTCTTCTGCTGACAATGTTTACATAACTCCTTTGACATTAATGGCAGTATGTCACAACTTCAGTGCTCATTCTGAGAAGTTGCCCTAAATCACACAAACATCTTTTTGCAAAAGTAAAAGGTGATTTTTCTTCCACCAGGTAATAAAATTCTGTTGTGACTCAATTTGAAAAGCAATGGAGTCTTGAATCGATCTGGCTCCTCTAGCACCATGGATACCCCACTAAACAATTTACAGAAAGATCCTAGGTTCAGAGACTAAATAGTGATAATCTTGCCCCCAAAAGAGCTACAGTGAACATCCCTCCATGTAGCCTTTTTTCCGCATCCTGAAGATTTTGGTCATTTTGCTTGAGTGGGTGCCTATCCTGATTACAATCTCCTAGTTAGCTGATAACCAGTGATCCTGGTTTTCTCTGATTAAAAAAAAATCCAACATTTTCTGATTTAATTCCCTCCTCCCCCAAATGCACATTTTTCTGTGATTAAAATGAAATGCCACTATATATAGTGCCTCTTAGGGACCACTTGACAAGTAATGTAAGAAACACAGGCTTTGTATAGGAGAGTTTAAAACCGCAGTCACTCTTACAGCATAGAGGATTTACAGATCTTTAGGGAAACAAATTCTCCATGTTCTGTGACCAAAGATCACCTGATCATGCTCATGACTGATCTGGGGATCTGGCAGATTGGTCCTTTCTACAGACAGACAGTGCATGGTAAAGATTCTTCCCCTAAATATGATCTCTTCCGCCTCTGACAAGCCAGTCAGCTGCAGATTTTCAAGCAGGTGATCCTCTGGGAGATTTCAGCTTCTCCGGAGTCAAGCTGGGGAAATTTGATCCCTTCTGCATATCTCTTTTCCATAGCAAAACCATTCTTTTAGGAGGGAACTGCCTTGGCTGGATAAGAATGTAAGAACATAAGAATGACCATTTACTGGGTCAGACCATAGGTATCTCTTGCCCAGTAGCTGTTCCCCACCCCTGCCCCCACTGTTCCTGTCTCACTTGCAGCCTCCAGTATTTAAGGTATAGGAAGTTCTGATTCAGAAGCGGCATCCCTAACTCCCATGCTCAATAGCTGCTGATGCTCCTTTCCTAAAATAATTTGTCCAAGCCCTTTTTGAATCTGGCGAAACTGTTGACTTCCACATCTGGTGGCAATGAGTTCCACACTTTAATTACACACTGTGTGAAAAAGAGCTTCCTTTTCTTAGTTTCAAACTTACTATGCACTAGTTTCATTTTATGACCCCTAGTTCTTGTATTATGAGAGCTAGTATATAATCAATCCCTATTTAATTTCTCTTCACCATTTAGTATTTTGTAAACCCTTATCATGCCCCCCTCAAGCATCTCTTTTCTAAACTGAATATGCCTATAGCCCCTAATGTTAACTGCCCAACATTAG